TATTTCCCTAAAATGATATTTATATATCTTGCTTTTTAATTTTTTTCCTTTTTTGCTACAGACTCATCTCATCTCTGATCCGTCACCACTGGCTCGCAGCAAAGCAGTCAAGAACTCAGTGGAAATTGAGGGCATGAAACAAGCTCATGTGAGTACATAAATGCTGATACTAAGTTAGTAAGGTGTACATTAGTACAATATCATGTTTAATATAATTTTTCTTGCACACTTATTCAAATGCTGCAATCTGATTGGCCGAGTTATCGTGCACTATATAACCATTAAAATGCAGTGGCTGGAGGTTTTCTATAAAATAGCGATGTTTTCTCGCTTTCCCGAAGTATCTTTGGAAGATTTAGAAACATAACTGACAAGACCAATAGAATGACTTACTGTTGCTCGACTTTAAGGACGTTCGCCGTAATTCATGCCAGTCGCAGTGTCTCGCCACGTCATGCATCGAGTGCGCGCGTTGAGGAAGAAATACAAACAAGTAAACTGCTCAGTTCTGGTTACGTGAAATTTACCCGCAGTTTACTCTCTCAAATGATCGGTGACCCCGTGTTCAGTCCGCGCGATTTGGAAATCGTTGTTAATAAAAGTAGTTACAATTGTTGAGACTTATTTAGAATTCTACTCAAACAATTGCCTTCGGCCTCATCAACTATAACCCCACAGAAATGTTGAGCTCATAGCTAATTTCTAAATGTAAAATAGTGAGCTGCTTAAGAAGGCACTACAAGAACTTGTAGCAACCAAGTCGCTAGATACTGTGATAAATTCCAAAACCGTCATTAGATTNCATCTACGAGTTCAGGAGCAATACATGTTCAAACAGTTGAATGGAGATATTACTTCAGTCCATAGGTACGAACGTAGCGGAGAAGTTATCTTCTAGGGTTTGTCTCAGCTTGGGGTTCAAATCAAGGCTTGATTTATTATCTGGTTCGTAGAACTAACGTAACTAAAACAAATGAATGGCGGTCAATCAGAAGAATGTTGATGCTTTGACTTACATTCGTGGTATTGTATAGGCCTTTTGTCCAAACTATTTGACAACATGTTTCAATATACTAGTAACATTCATTGGTACAACTCAAGTGATATAGCGCTAAACAAAATCTTTGTAAGTCTAGAGTTTGAACTAATGTAGGTAACCAATCGATTCTTTGCTTGGCAATCGATATTTGGAAAGCTATAAGACCCTCCAGCTGTGTTTGCATTTTCGAAACAAATAAAACGTTATCTACAGTCAGAACAAGAAACGAAGTAATTTTCCTTTACGCTAAACATGATTTTATATTACATGCTGTAATTTATTTCTCCTTCCTTGTTGTCCTTTTATTCTTCTGCTGCCAATATAGAACTTTTTTTTTTTGTAAGAGGAGCTAACAAGAAAAGCAACAGGTTAATTTAGCCCTCCAGCTCGAGCTTAATTTTAATATAAATTAAATAAAATGTTTTTTTTTTGTGCCATTTCTAGATGTAAAATTACTTAATAATTATATGAATGAGCTGAATAAAAAATCACTAATTTGATGTTCAGGTGAAACTTTGAAAACGGTCCAAGCACCAGCAATTGTACTGTCTTATACTACAAGTGGACGTTTTATGATGTCATTGTAAGTTGTGCTTCTCCTCAAGTTTTACCAAGCGTGTTCTTATAATTATAAAGATCATTTTTTTTTTTAATTGCCTGTCTTTATTTTAGGGAACAAGAGAACTTCATAAGCCTGAGTTTTGAGACCATCTCGGGTGTGGGCCCTAATGGGGCAGTCATTCATTACAGGTACGTAACTCGACCTGAACTGCTAAAGAGCAGCAGCTATGTTTCAAAGCAGATCTGCATTTTAACTTCAAGGGTCACTGTGCGAAGAAATAAAACTCAGTTTAAGCATGCATACTGCCAAGAAAGTGTATCCCGTTCAAGAGCAGGAGTTCTAATGTGATCAACTCGCGATTGCATTTACTGACTGATGGACTAACCGGCTGACCGACATGTAAATGATATATTTCAGAAATAGATTCCATGTTGCCGTACGTCTGTTCAGTTATAGATCACAGATGACGTCAATACGTGGTAAGTATAAAACAGTGGCACGCGAGGCGATAGCCGAGTGTGTCCTTGATGTTCTTACCACATTTTGACGTCCTCTGTGATCTATTACTGAACAGAAGTACGACAACATGGAATCTACTTGTTATATATAATGAATTAGAATAAAGGACTTCTATGCGTTGTTCCACAGACCAGCCGAGGAAACCGATCGTGTGATTTCCAATGAAGAGCTGTACTTGTGCGACTCTGGAGCACAGTTTAAGTAAATATGCTTTTGTTTGTGCCGTTCTTACGTGAAAATACACTAATATGTAAACGAGGGTTTAAATTAATTACAAAAATAAGCGAAAAGCTACTTCGTCGTTCGTTCGATCTCGGCCCCATTGTCAGAAAAGGTTTTATCCATTTTATTGCGTGGAATAAAGTTTTCATGCCTGGCAAGATCTGATACTGATTCCGGAGAAAGACTCCGGCAATCACAATAGTGACTTGTTTTTCGAGAAAATTGAGCTTGAGTTTGAAAAGAATTCCTGAAAATTTCTTTCATGGCTTCATATTGACGGCGACTTTTGATGCCTACAGAAAGAGCGTATTATTATTCAATTTGTAATGCTAAGGGTAAACACGTGCCTCGCTTCCATACTGTAGCCTCAATTCCATGCTAAGAACTTTCCACCCTTAGCCAGTTAGAGTTCAATTATCGGGATTCTCCGGACTTTGTGATTTACATGGCATTTTTACACAGTATACCTTTTGTTATCTAGGGATGGTACAACTGATGTGACTCGCACGTGGCATTTTGGTGCTCCTTCAAAATGGGAACGGGTGAGTTTTTAGTAAATGGACTGGTGACTAATTTGGAACTGAATTACTCCTTAACATGTATCGCTTAATTACATGTATGGACGTGCGAAAAAACGCCTGTGGTTAACTACGCTTTGTCGCTCTCGTATAGTGACAAAATTGATTGTAGAGCATACTACAATGATACCGTAGACTGGAATATTTTTCTACCTTTTCGGCTCCAGTGGCACTGAAAACGTAATAGGAAGGTCGTATCGAAAGCATCATCCATTTTGGCAACAGTTTCTTTAAATAACATCTGAAGCATTTTCACAAAGGAACCGACATTGATGCCTATGACATAATAATCTCTGGCAAACGTCTTCTCTTTCTGTTATAGGAATGCTTTACTCGCGTGTTAAAGGGGCATATTGCGCTTGCGAGAGCCGTCTTCCCCAACAAGACTACAGGTAACAACGCAAATATGATGTCATGAATGTTTACCTTTCGATCAAAGAAACACCTACAGGGAGCAGGGGGGAGGTAGAAGGGGGAAGGGGAAGGGGGAGGGGAAAGGGGAGGACTGAGTTTAGGTAACAGAGTAGGGGCTTAATTGAACTTGGAAGTGTGGGAGGGGAATTATTTGATCTTGCGAAACACCAGGTTCATTGTTACCTGATACTGATTCACAGATTCTGAAAACTGTACTCCTTTTAAGCCTGTGACAATTAACTATTTAGTATTTCTTTCAACCAGTTGCAGCTTTACTACCTCAATACTTCACGTTACTAACTTGTTCATTTGCTAAGGATATTGATGAAACTCTGATTTCCTACAAGAAATCGCTTAACTTCTTTGACGTAGTTAGGGTTTTATTCCAGATACTGAGGGAAGCATCGATCTCTGACCTTCATGCCAGCAGACGTGAAGTTGATATGTCTACAAGACAATCTTGTTTGCCCTGTTTTAAACCTCTTCGAACTCGTTGGATAAATAGTGTCGTGCTTTTCTTATTGCAGGTCACAGATTGGACACCCTAGCTCGCATGGCGTTATGGGATGTTGGACTGGACTACTTGCATGGGACAGGACATGGGATTGGTTCGTTTTTAAATGTACATGAAGGTACGTTGCGTGCGGGCGTGCGTGCGTGGGTGGTGTGAAAGCGTGAGAGCGTACAAGAAAGCATAACTGAATGTTGATTTTTNCAAGTTTTACCAAGCGTGTTCTTATAATTATAAAGATCATTTTTTTTTTTAATTGCCTGTCTTTATTTTAGGGAACAAGAGAACTTCATAAGCCTGAGTTTTGAGACCATCTCGGGTGTGGGCCCTAATGGGGCAGTCATTCATTACAGGTACGTAACTCGACCTGAACTGCTAAAGAGCAGCAGCTATGTTTCAAAGCAGATCTGCATTTTAACTTCAAGGGTCACTGTGCGAAGAAATAAAACTCAGTTTAAGCATGCATACTGCCAAGAAAGTGTATCCCGTTCAAGAGCAGGAGTTCTAATGTGATCAACTCGCGATTGCATTTACTGACTGATGGACTAACCGGCTGACCGACATGTAAATGATATATTTCAGAAATAGATTCCATGTTGCCGTACGTCTGTTCAGTTATAGATCACAGATGACGTCAATACGTGGTAAGTATAAAACAGTGGCACGCGAGGCGATAGCCGAGTGTGTCCTTGATGTTCTTACCACATTTTGACGTCCTCTGTGATCTATTACTGAACAGAAGTACGACAACATGGAATCTACTTGTTATATATAATGAATTAGAATAAAGGACTTCTATGCGTTGTTCCACAGACCAGCCGAGGAAACCGATCGTGTGATTTCCAATGAAGAGCTGTACTTGTGCGACTCTGGAGCACAGTTTAAGTAAATATGCTTTTGTTTGTGCCGTTCTTACGTGAAAATACACTAATATGTAAACGAGGGTTTAAATTAATTACAAAAATAAGCGAAAAGCTACTTCGTCGTTCGTTCGATCTCGGCCCCATTGTCAGAAAAGGTTTTATCCATTTTATTGCGTGGAATAAAGTTTTCATGCCTGGCAAGATCTGATACTGATTCCGGAGAAAGACTCCGGCAATCACAATAGTGACTTGTTTTTCGAGAAAATTGAGCTTGAGTTTGAAAAGAATTCCTGAAAATTTCTTTCATGGCTTCATATTGACGGCGACTTTTGATGCCTACAGAAAGAGCGTATTATTATTCAATTTGTAATGCTAAGGGTAAACACGTGCCTCGCTTCCATACTGTAGCCTCAATTCCATGCTAAGAACTTTCCACCCTTAGCCAGTTAGAGTTCAATTATCGGGATTCTCCGGACTTTGTGATTTACATGGCATTTTTACACAGTATACCTTTTGTTATCTAGGGATGGTACAACTGATGTGACTCGCACGTGGCATTTTGGTGCTCCTTCAAAATGGGAACGGGTGAGTTTTTAGTAAATGGACTGGTGACTAATTTGGAACTGAATTACTCCTTAACATGTATCGCTTAATTACATGTATGGACGTGCGAAAAAACGCCTGTGGTTAACTACGCTTTGTCGCTCTCGTATAGTGACAAAATTGATTGTAGAGCATACTACAATGATACCGTAGACTGGAATATTTTTCTACCTTTTCGGCTCCAGTGGCACTGAAAACGTAATAGGAAGGTCGTATCGAAAGCATCATCCATTTTGGCAACAGTTTCTTTAAATAACATCTGAAGCATTTTCACAAAGGAACCGACATTGATGCCTATGACATAATAATCTCTGGCAAACGTCTTCTCTTTCTGTTATAGGAATGCTTTACTCGCGTGTTAAAGGGGCATATTGCGCTTGCGAGAGCCGTCTTCCCCAACAAGACTACAGGTAACAACGCAAATATGATGTCATGAATGTTTACCTTTCGATCAAAGAAACACCTACAGGGAGCAGGGGGGAGGTAGAAGGGGGAAGGGGAAGGGGGAGGGGAAAGGGGAGGACTGAGTTTAGGTAACAGAGTAGGGGCTTAATTGAACTTGGAAGTGTGGGAGGGGAATTATTTGATCTTGCGAAACACCAGGTTCATTGTTACCTGATACTGATTCACAGATTCTGAAAACTGTACTCCTTTTAAGCCTGTGACAATTAACTATTTAGTATTTCTTTCAACCAGTTGCAGCTTTACTACCTCAATACTTCACGTTACTAACTTGTTCATTTGCTAAGGATATTGATGAAACTCTGATTTCCTACAAGAAATCGCTTAACTTCTTTGACGTAGTTAGGGTTTTATTCCAGATACTGAGGGAAGCATCGATCTCTGACCTTCATGCCAGCAGACGTGAAGTTGATATGTCTACAAGACAATCTTGTTTGCCCTGTTTTAAACCTCTTCGGACTCGTTGGATAAATAGTGTCGTGCTTTACTTATTGCAGGTCACAGATTGGACACCCTAGCTCGCATGGCGTTATGGGATGTTGGACTGGACTACTTGCATGGGACAGGACATGGGATTGGTTCGTTTTTAAATGTACATGAAGGTACGTTGCGTGCGGGCGTGCGTGCGTGGGTGGTGTGAAAGCGTGAGAGCGTACAAGAAAGCATAACTGAATGTTGATTTTTTGATTGGCTTTTTAAATTGCGATTTCTAACTTTCTTCTGCTCCCATGAGAGCCCATCAAAGGACAACTAACCTGCCAAAAGACACCCTTCGACGAGTGACGAAGAAGTTTCTTTCTCGGAACGGTTTCGACTTTTGGAGTGCAAAAGTTATATGCATTCGCTTTGGAACGTTTTGCATTTACAAGCTTAGTGATTGGTTTAAAAACTCGCGCCACTTTTCAGCCAATCAGAAGTAAAGCTAAAACCTGCCGTGACTCGCTCAGAGACGTTTTCCCGCGCTTTGCGCCCTCTTATGTTTGTAAGTGGTGATTGGTTCACTGGATTGTTGGTGTCCTTTGTGACTGGCTAGGGCGACAGCCTTGGTTTTGGTTATTGCAATTCTTTTTTAAGGTCCTCAGAGGATTGGCCCCCGGGGAGTAGAGAACGAGGCTCCTTTAGAAGCTGGCATGATGGTTACTGACGGTGAGTGTTATATTTCCGAGGTCAAACTGTCAAATCTCCAAACTTATTGGCACATAATTATTTTAACCTTTGTTTTGAGAGTTTGCTTGGTGGTACATGATGACGATGTCTCTTAGTCGATGGATTTCTTGATTCTCATCACATGTTTGCTTGATTAAGTATTGATACGGTAGGGAGAAACTCGACGTATGAGCTAACATTAGTGCAGTGAAGTTCAGTGTGACTTCTGTCAGTGACGGCAGTGAACCAATCTGTCGTATACCATGTCAAATAGCGGCCGTTAGCAATGTGAGGCGATAACTGCATGCTAAATTAAGAAAAAAATTGAAAAAAACAACAGTTACCATGCAATAGAACAACATCACATAGGTCTAATGTAAACTAACCGCTATTTCGGTTGTGACATTTGTCCGAGCGCAAGGCGGGTGCAACCGGAAGTGTTTCTGGAGGTCCTCTTTTGCTTGATTACGTATGGGATTACGTATTTCAAAGTCGAGACAAGTCAGTGAAGATAAAGCGCGGAACAAATTTGTATATTAGTTCTTAGGAAACTTTTAACACAGATGAGAAGAGAATGATAGACGTAATGTAACTAAGAATTAGAAATAAAAAACTGCTGACTCGCGAGCAAGGGGCAAAAATTTTGATATGGACTAATTGTAAGAGATTTTGATTTCACCCCATGCAGGATAGACGCAGCCGAAATTTTGGTGCATTTTTGACTTCTTATAATTAGCTTTTAAACTATCAGTTTGAAGACAAGTAGCGTTGATTTTGTGGAGTAAGTGTTGTTCCCGATTTTTTCTTTTTTTTTATAATTTTGGCTTCAGTAACTGCAGCATGAGAACTAACCGTTAACACATTAAGGAAGATAATCAATGTTAGGGGTTGTTATTAAGACATTTTAACAATTCCTTTGTTCATTTGTTTGTTTTAGAGCCTGGTTACTATGAAGACGGCGCATTCGGAATCCGTATCGAAAATGTGTTACTTGTAAAACCTGTCGAACTTGAGGTGAAAAATTGACCTTCATATTTTTTAATGTAATATTTAGTCATCTTTGTCAGTTAATAAACGGAGTAGATTTTCAGTTAAAGCTGATCATAAAGAAGGACTTTCGCATGTTAAAACGTTTCTTATGTTGATTTAAGTTTGATTGTTTCATATTCTTACGCCTTGTTCAATTCACAGAACAACTTTAAGGACAGAGGCTACTTGGGTTTTGAACCGATTACTCTGGTAAGCGTTTTTCAACAAAATTGTTTCCACGGTTAAGCAATGTAGTTTATACCAGAGATCTTATTTTCAGGGTCAAGGAATGGTTAAAGAATTGAATACTTTGCTCAGAAAAAGATACAGCTTTTGATAATGAGCGTTCTTGACCGTTGCTGACTATGGCTATTTACAATCGGCAAGGATATGTTTTCGGATCTTTCAGTAAACCTTTCTCGTTTGTCCCAATTTTCCAGAATATAGACGACTTAAGAAGCTTTAGACCAGGCTTTAGATGAGGTTTCGGAAGAAAGCTGCCCCTCGCTCGCTTTCCTGACATGGTTTATTCAACCCTAAAAGACAACAACGTGCGTCAAATGGTCCCGCCTTTTTTGTCATCACTTCGTCTAGATGAAACTGAAATGTCCACATCAACCAGTCGATTGAAGAATGTAACAAAACAAGAGTAGTCTCTTTAACAAAACAGTTACTCGATTCGCTTTTGTTGAATATAAGATGATTGTAAAAAACTCGCCTTGTTTTTCATTTATTACCCCGTATCCACCAACGCGGGCTCTAGTCATGAAATAATTGTTGATTAGCCTACCAATAGTAGTCAATCTGTGTCTTAGTCCGTGGATTGGAAAGAGGAAAAAAAGTGAGAGGAAGAGAATTTGTCTCGCTTGTTCTCGCTTCTCGCTTTGCCAGCATTCTGTGTTACTCATTTATTACCTTCTTTGGAATCAGTGTTTGCTGGCCCTGCTGACTTCAGATCAAGAGAAGTTCGTTTTGTTTTGTTTCCTATGACGAATGTTACAATTCTAATTTTACTCTTGAAGTAAGTTTAAGTCATGGGTATTAAACATAATGCCTTCCTTATGTTTTGTAGTTTCCAATCCAAACGAAGCTTCTTCTACCTTCCATGTTAACGTCTGAAGAGGTGTGTTGAGCTGTTAATTTTGGTCGTCTTATCGTTAGTACAGTGACACTTGCTGCACTAAATATGTATTTCGTTTAGATGTTTAAAAATTAAGTTGATTTGAATTACGTATATTTCCCATTGTGATAATCAGACCACTCCTTGTGAATATCTCACGAGTTGTCGCCGACCAGTTTGCTCGAGGTTACTTTTCCTTATTCTGATAATTGTTATGATTTTTATGGGGAGGCAGCGTGGCCGAGTGGTCAGCGCATTGGACTCGCAATTTCGCGGTCCCGGGTTCGAGTTCCGTGCTGACCACTACCTGGATATGTTTTACTGTAGCTCCAATTTGAACTGCTCGGTCACGCTTGTAAATAGCCAACTGGTCATATTATTTGCCTCCTTTACTTCCAATAGAAGTGTTTTCTATTCGGAAGCAAAGAGAAGCAGAGAACAGAAGAGAACAGATCAGGTTTCTGTTTGGTTTAACGACAACCACAATAAGAACGAAACTCTTACAAAGTTTCACTTTTTTTGTAGGTCGAGTGGCTTAACTGGTACCACGGGTTATGTGCGGAGAAAGTTGGATCGGCTTTAAGAGAACAGGGTCGCACAAGCGCTCTCAACTGGCTTCTGAAGGAGACGATTCCTCTTGGTTGAAATGATGAGCTGCTAAAGTGACCTTCGCTACCCAGGAGAATTTTTGTTATCGAAAAGAAATAGGAACGTGTTTTACGAATGCTTTGTATGTCTTGCGACTGATTAAATTCCTTTGAAATAATGAAAAATCAAAAAAATGAAACAGTTTACGTCATTAACGTTTGTTAACCCTGAGTAATTTGTGGAGAGAAGGCCTTTTTTGCGCGCAAGAACACTCTCCTTTTCGTAAGCACTTTTCTGTACGCACGCTAAGGCTGTGAAAGATCAATCGGCGTCTTTGCATCGAAAACGCGTCGAACGTTTTCCATCCACCCACTCGTTTCAAATCGTTTTAGT